AACGCTTTTTCGGCAATTAGGGTGATGTGCAGCTATTTAATGTGGTCAAAATTATTTAAGCACCGGGGAGATTTATGCACATGAAATTGGAGATACGGCTGATAGATTTACTTTAAATAAATTGTGAATCTGCGAAAATATCTTTTCAGCAGATGAATATGTTGTTTAACTTTTTTTCCCGAAAATTTACATACAGGCTCCAAATTATGCGAGTAACATTCAAATATCGTCGCTTGGATGGAAAATTGCCGGAAGCGTCATTTTGACAATTTGTAGTTAGTTATAGATGCAGTTATATATTTTAAAGTAAGATGTTTCGATTTTTTGTTAACTGGTTTTTGGATATCTTCTTTAGTTTCCGAGTAATTGACTAAAATGTTTTCGGCTATTTGGTACAAATTGCGTTAGTAATGCTGTCGTACTAAACTAATCAATTGGGGTGTTCACAGTTCGCTCCAAATAGTGTCTCAAAATGTAGACGTCTACATTTTAAGACGTTTTCTAACCGTAAAATCTGTGGTGTTGTTGTTTCCCATACAAAATTGGAAAACGACGCCGTCTACATTTTGTCACACACAGCTTGCAACACTAGTCCTTTATGGGGACCAAATTTGGTGAAAAAAAACAAAGTTTGTTTACTGGATATACTGAAGAATAAATTATTCATACCATATTAAAATATAAGATGAATACCTTTGAGGAGCTAAGTGATNAGAATAAATTTTTCATACCATATTAAAATATAAGATGAATACCTTTGAGGAGCTAAGTGATGTCGAATTGAGGCAGAAATTATTAGTCCTTGGATATCCTAAAATACCTATCACAGAGACTACGCGTGGTATACTCATAAATAAATTACGAAAAAACTTCAAATCCAACTCTATGCTGTCACACCGTAGGAATCCTGGTCAGATGTCTAAACATGATTTGCCAATGACTCGGCGCATATATAATATTAAGTCCACAGTTAAGGAAGAAATGCAGACCGCTAACTGCACTGAACATAAATATAATCGCACTCTTAAAGAGTACTTGCCTTTTACTGTGAGTGGCCTGCAACATACTGATCATTTATATTCACCTACGACGGATTTTATTCTAAGTTCGCCAGAAACGAATGTTTCCAATACCTCCTGCAAAGAATCTCATTTAGGAGTTGTAAGCAGATTATTGAGTTTCCGGGAAAAAACGTTTCGAAAACCAAAAGCATGTGAACATAATTTCCAAACACTTCTGTCGTTACCAAAAGAAACTAACAAATATCTCAGCAAATCAAAGAGGACGATGTGTGATTTTTTATCGTATATAAGCACTCAATCCCTGCTAAATCAAAGCTTTAAACCTTGCGTGCTAGTTGGAACGTTCATAGTATTTTTTATTTGCTTGGGATTAATTTACATATTTCAAAGTCCAAAGCATTTGCAAACTTACAATTTCGTAAGTCAAATACCGGTATGCGATGGTACCTTCACAACAGATGATTGTTTGTCTCCAGTCGACGCGGATATTGCAATTAATTTAATAGCGGAAATTGAGAAAACCCTTAAAATTCGTTCTAAAAAGTATGAATGTAACAATAAAAAAACTTCAATTAGCGAAGCAGAGCTCATAAATTATATGGAAACAATGGGCCATAATTACAATGTGCACACTTGGAGGAAACATTTGATACATGCGAGATTTCTTATAAAGCAAAACCCTCAGTGGAATATAGCAACAACAGATGGGGAAAACTACAAATTTTTAATAGTAAATCCTGTATTTTGCTTTTTGGTCACAAAGCTTCAAAGTTTCTTTGTGATTATTGGTATAGGAGCTATAATTGCTCTACTGTCTGGAATAAGCTATACAATATATCGTTACATCAGGGCTTGGCGAGTGAATCGTTCTAATATTATTGAACAGTTCACTACAGACATTGTAAACGAACTCATTTATAGAGCTTCTCTTAGCGAAACTCCAGAAGAACGTGAAGTGATTATAATTCATTTGCGTGATAAACTGATTCCTTTTAAGAAACGAAGCACTCATTTAAAATTTTGGAAAGAAGCATTACAAATTTTAGATGCAACAGATAGCCGAATACAATTTGGTGTAAAAAATGTGGATGGAGAAGATTATCGAACAATGAAATGGATAGGTAATGCAAATGGTAATACTCGAGCAAATGGGCTTCTTAAGAAATGGCAAAGTCCAGCATTCGATTGCGCAAATAAAATTGATAACCCACCTACTTCATGTTTAAAAATTCGGCATATGTTTGACTCCTCAGAAGTCAACATTCCGAATTTGAAACAAATAATAGAAGCAGCTCTAATAGAGAAAGTGGGAACTCGTTGTTGTATTCAAGATATCCAGATTGATAAACAAAGTTGCTGTGTTTATGTTCGATGTGGTAGTGAGATTGATGCTGGTATAATACATAATGAGATTAATGGCTGGTGGTTCGACAAACGTTTAATATCGATTAAATTCTTACGACTACAGCGGTATCTAGCACGTTTTCCGAACAGTGTGGGCTTAGATTCCTAAGTAAAACAACAGCCTGTTGACTTTTGTATTTAAATACATTTATTGTAATTATCCTTTTATTTAATTTGAATGAAAAAAACGGCAGTTAAACGAAGCAGCGAATATCGTCTGCCTTACTAAATAATATGATCCGTAAAATATTTTAATTTTCTAAATAAAATGTAATTAATTATAAATATTTTTCATAGTTCGTAGATCCTGCGCGTTTAAAGGGGGATACACGACATCAGCTTACTGGCGCCATCAAGGGATTGTAAAATCAAGCTCGAAGCATAGAACATACCAGCATGCTGGTACAATATTTATTTCTTTACAAATGAAGTCCGGAAAAGTTCGAAATGAGTTCCGAAACCTTATAAATTTTATACAATTTTGTTAAACATTAGTTTTTTAAATTTACTATTGCAATATTGTGAAATTTAATCTTACACAAACACGGTTTTGGCACATATAGTGCAAGAAATTTCCGCCAAAATAAGTTTTAGGCTGTGCGAATCGGTAAGATTTTTCTCCGTGGTGAGACGGCGTAGACAA